CAATTAATTTAGTGTACAAACTTGTACAGTTCTTTGTTATTGACTACGTAATTCAATTAGTTTGCATTTACTAAATATAAAACAATTCAATTACTTTTTAGAAATACTTTAAACTCTGTTTTCACAGTGAGAAGTATATTGTTCCAGAATTTGTAAACTCTCGTTTCATTAGTCTTGGAGAATTGGAGTATTGATCGACAGACACCCAAATAAATTCAAATTCAGAATTATACCGATATTTATGTACAAGTAAGGGGTCACATGTAAATTACAAAAATCGTGCTTAAGAAGATCCGGAACCAAATGCCCCCTTCCACTTGATATAGGCTGTGCAGGCCTATAAATATAACTACGTTACGATAATTACATAAGTGATGATGGTCCTACTATCCACCAATTATTGAATGTAACCACTTGTATATAGTGTACGAGAAATGAAATTTGATCTTTATCACAATAAATGGAATTTATTTTCAACTGTTGCTGCACAGTGTGGTCCTAACTATATTCCTAAGTTACAACATCGAGTTGATAGATCTAGTCGAACAAATGTGAATGAAGAGGATGCGCAGTATGGGAATTCCGCATTATCAGCACCCTGACGAAGTGTGTTCCACAGTCCAGTGCAGGGACGGATTCAGCTGATCATATTTTAGGGGGAGGGGGCCATCGCAGAAATGTTATTAAGTAATAAACATTTGTTATTATATTGTATATTATTTATGTACTTTAGATACAATTTTGTTTAAATAATAACATAATTCGAACGTAAATAAATATTTAAATCAATTTTGCTAAATGAAGGAAGGTAATCGAAATCTCTGGGAATATTTGGCGGGGGGGGGGGGATGTCCCCCATGGCCCCTCTGGACCCGCCAGTGGCCCACTGGAAGCAGGGTCTCTGTCGCCGAGTGCCAAGGCGCGGAAATCGAGTGAGCCCGCAGGGGGCGGGTCTCGTGTTGATAAGAGCGGATTCGCGTGGCCGCCAGGGGAATTTCCCGTTGGAAATGTGACAGCGCGTGTGCTCGAGGATCCGGAGACAACCGGAGATCGGCGACGCGACGCGACGCGACGCGATCTCCGCAGTCGGCTGCTTGCCCGTCCTCGCCCCGCCTCACTCGCGCTTCCATCCCTGTGCCACTGGCCGCGGACGAATGAACGTTTGGATGCATTTTCGGCCAGAAGAGGGGAGAACTGAGGTTTGGACCGTGGGAGTCGAAAATTGTTGCGAGCTTGGAATAATACGACAGTAAACGCGAATTCCTAGGAACCGAAATAATCGGTGCTCTTGTCATAAAAATTCGTGTTATCCGATTATTATTAATGACCTATTACAGTAATCCTTTGCACGTACCCAAGTTTTCGGCAACACAGCCTTCGACACGGCGTCACCTAGACAGACAAGATCATTAACAAACCTAGAACACATTTATCCAACCTTTTGAAGGATATAATAGGCATAAAATTAAGGAGACCTTAACCTTTGAGGGATTATTATTATTATTATTATTACCAATAATAATAATAATAATAATAATATTAACCAACTAAGTTGCTATTAAGAGCAAGGGCCTGCTGTCTTTGTAGGGAATGATGAATGAACTGATAGGATAATGATGTGGGGTGACGAATAGAATGGTGGTGGAAGATAATCGTGACTTTTTTAACCATGCGAGTATTCGCCTTATGAGCGAGGAAAACCACAGGCAAAAAAAAAACGGTCCTGACCGGGCTTGCCCGCGGATCGAGCCCGGACCTCTCTATTGCGAAGTCAGCGCGCTACCCACTGAGTCACTTCTGAGGGATATAATACGCATAAAATTAAACAAATTAAATATAAAAGTAGCTTCTTGTAAGAGCTTCGTTAACGTAATTGCCAAACGCTTATGAGGGAAAACTATCTCACAGGTATGGCGAATTTTGGAACCTGCACTAGCAGTGATCGGTTCTCCTTGCAGTTGGAGAGTAGACGCTCCTCAGGTTGCATATTTCGCCTCGTTTCTAAGCATTTGGAGTGGAATAATTGGGGGGGGGGGTGTAATTTCACGTCTTCTTGACCTCGTTCGGTGAATCGATTTCATCTTCCCTTCAAATTTGCTCTTCAGTGTAATACTTAACCAGCTCTCGTTTCACTTCATGGATCTTAAAGTTGAGTCCCCATCGTTCCATGTGATAAGTTGTAGGAAACAGAATTGCATAGTGAAGGATTTTCGCGAACTTTTCTGTTCTCCTTTATCTTGCATATCATCATATCAAATAACTCGTCTTGTCTGGCCCTAATCACATTCTCTTATCAACAGCTTGTCAAATGCTAGAATTGGTGAACAGCCACGCTGACCTACATAGTTTGACCGCGTGTTACTAGACATCCATCACACTAGAGCCGATTGCGCTGGTATCCCGACATTTGTAATAGTGTTACGTAAGTAAAATTGTGTTTGAGGGGAGAGCGTAGGAGAAGAACGGGGAAATAAATATCGCGGTTGTCCTCGGCCCGTTTGTTAGGGTGCTGCTACTGCAGTCGTCTGTTATTGACCGGAGTAACGACGGAAAACCGCCCATGAGATCTTTCCGGTAGAATTCTCCTCCGGAACACGCCTGGAGGCAACCTAGACATAAAGCTAGTTTTTTGCGTTCCAGTGCTATAAAATAACCTTTTCTGTTGCAAGAAATCGTTCATAATCGGGCATTTTACGGCACAAATGATGACGTATTAGATTTTATGTCACGAATGATTGCGTCATCACATATTCAGCCTATCGTAGCGAGACAATAGGGGGAAGTAGAGCTAAACGGAACAGCCGAGCACCATTTACTTGCACGACGTCAAATACCCGAGTTGTCACAGGGAAGTTGTTTCGCAAAACTAAGTGTGATTCTCTTATAAATGGATAATGCTGTTATACAAAAAAAATATAGTATGCAACTCGTTTATAATGTTGCTTTATTACATTCGTACAAATTTGAAAATTCGCTCCTGAAGTCGCTCGTTTTCAAAACATGTACTCATGCAATAAAGCTTAACATTATGAACTAATTGCATAAACTACTATTCGAAAATTCACTACCCCCGAATCTCGAACCCGAGGTCCTCGTGATCGGACTCGCCACAGCGACGGCGGCAATGCTGGATCCCTGGTATTCACAAGCTGTGCGCCACCGAGGAAGGCGTGTCGAGTATTCACGCGCCTAGAATAAAAGTTCCATCGCCGCCGCGGCTTCTGCGCGGGCGGCGCGCGAGGCATCGGTTCTCCCGTGGGCGCAGCCGCGCGTCCATCTCCCGGCTGCGCGCGGGGCGGCCTGGACAGGCGCCGCCAGGGAGCGCTGGGGGGAGGGGGAGGGGGAGGGGCGTGACGAATGAGTGATGGCTGCCGGACGGAAGCGGACGCGTGACAAGGGCGCCCGCGAGGCAGGTGCGCGAGGCTGTCGGGGGTGGAGGCCGATGAACAGAAGCAGCAGCCGCCGTCGGATAGGGGGGTGAGAGAGAGGGGCAGCAGTAGTTGGATGATAATCACGGGAAGGAGAGAAAATAGCAGGATGGTGATAATGGGGAGGGAGGTGCATTAAGCGATAGTTACGGAGAATAGGAGACCGATAATCATAAGGAGATGGAGCAATAGTCGATGATAATCATGGGGAGGAGGAGCAATAGTCAGATTAAAATCGTGTGGAGAAGGAAGAATGATGGAGGAGGGTGGGGAGTTAGATGATGAGTAGCGGATGAACTACAAAATGAGCTGGATGATATTGGAAGATGATATTGAGGATGGAGAGAACAAAGGGAGGAAGAGATGCGGGAAGGATGGGAGGAGGAGAAACGTGAGGGAGAGGATAAATAGGGGGTGGAGGAGGGAAGTGCAGGCGGAAAGAGAGAATCGGATGAGAAAGGGAGGAGACTGGTGTTGATGAGGGGTGCTGAAAACGGTGGTGTGAGGGAAGGGTCAAACTAAGCGAAACGGTACGAACCACAGACGGTCCCCTCATTATTGAGTTTGTGAGCAGAGTTTGGAGTGGGATAGTGTAAGCGGTTCTGGGTCCGGTCATTTGGGTCCTTGGAGAAAGCAAGAGGAGCTATGGAGGATCCTCGAAAAATGAGAACGAAGCGTAAATGAAATTACATATATATTTATAAAATGGAAAAATATGTAATATATCTGGACATAAGTAAGCACTCATGCAGAAATATTTATGAAAAAGTTAAAATTCTTTAACGTTGCAGCATAGAATGGAAATTTTTCTAATATTCCTTTTGCGTCTAATGTAAGAAGTGCCAAAAATTATCGATAATGATGATTTAGACTGTGTATGATGATCTGTTTGTCGTTCTATGTATGGCAAAAACATTAACCTCTGGTACGTAAATGAATACCTATATTAGACAACTGCTGCATACCTTGCCAACCGAAAGGCCACTACTAGTTACGAAAGAACTTCACCGTAACTTAATGAGAGAAGGAAATGCAAATATTTACCGCCACTTGCCAAAATCGAATTTTCTGCTTCGATAAATTTCTCTCCAAGCCATAGCTAACGTTTGAAGCCACTTCAACATTTACAAAGTAGGATGAATGAGCTTTAATAGAAGCACGAAAAGTGTTTTATGCAACATTGCAAGTACAATGAAGCATGAACAATGTATGATGATGTACAACTACGCAAAATTTGAACGAAATATTTGTTATTGTGTTAATTTAATTTGCGTTTCTATTTGTTGTGTTTTTGTGAATTGCGTTTAAATATTAATTACATTTTTATTTTTGTTACAGGTGAGTGTTTTGCTGAAAAGTCGAGTATCGTAAACAACCAACATCCAGTAAGTTAACGAACAACTTTCATAACTATTGTCATTGTTGAACTTCTAAAAAGTGATTTACATCACAAGTCTTAGAGCAACGTTCAGCGACTACAATTAAATGTTCCTTGGAATATTTTTAGTCAATGCAGCAGAAAATAACGGCATCTAAAACTAGGACCTATTGTTATCTTTATTTAATTCGAAGTATATCCGCGCCTGCTTCTTCTGGTATTTTCTATCATGTCGAATTGGCCTTCGTGAGCTTTAAGGAAGCACAGTGTAAAATAAAGGAATTACGGCGGCGAACCTGCAGGCGCCGCAGCGAGCGAAAAAGAAGCAGTGCGGTGGGTAGCCGGTGGTAGGACCTTGCGGCGTAAATCCTTGCGGTTATAAGTTGTTGCCTCCTATCGTCTCCAACTCGATTTTTCACCTCTCCTTTTCCGCGCCCAACTTCCTTAATTTCCTCTCCGAGGGATCCGCCC